CAATAAAGAGGAGAATTGAGGATTCTTTCACACAGCTTGCCAATACAGGACGTGAGTGATATTGGGCGGTAGTTTTTAGGGTCATTGGCCTTCTTTCCTTTCTTTAAGATTGGATTTATAGTAGCTAGTTTCCATGCTTTAGGCAGATTTCCCTCAGTCCATGTTCTGTTGTAGAGCTTAAGAAGTAGCAGTTTGGCTTTTTCACCAAGGTTTTGTAGCATCTCGTTGTGTACTTTATCAGGACCTGGCTTTTTCGCTTCTTCTGTTTCTTGATTGCACAGTCCAACTCTCGTTTAGTTAAGAAGTCCTGGAAGATACTCGGTGTCATCAAATCTCTCTCTTTTCCTCTCAGAACACTCAGTAGACCCCTATCCAGGTCATTCCTTTTGCTACTCTTGTTAACTCATTCGGGACGCATCGGACATATACGTCCAATAGCCTTGAGCTTCGCTGGAGACGCATGTGACGTATACGTCCGATAGCATTTCTCGACCGTTGTATCCGCACAAATGAAGGTATTCCAGGGAACAAACTTTTGGTTGACATTGCTAAGCCATATTCTATTCTGTATTTATTTAGTTTTGACCGTATAGCGTCGTTTTTTGTAATTTTCTGTGGCGATTTCTGAAGGCAATTGGGACGACAAAGAACACGGATCTTTGAGGAGTACCATACAAAGAATGGCTATTCACAATGACTGAAACTATTTCTTCACAATATTTGGACTGTAAATTGTGTTGGTATGTGTTTTCAGCGGCATTACAGTTGTGTTGTAACTTTATCTTGTTTGTTTCTGCACTTCTTCACTGTCAACTTAGAGGAACATTTTTTTTTTTTTAATGCCTTATACACCATTCTTGTAAGGGTCCTGGCAAGTTAAGAAATATATCCAGGCAAATTGGGTTAGATCTAAGGCAAAGTCCAATTGTTGAATGTGTAGCTAGTGAAAACAGACTTTAAAAATATCTAAATGGGAAAAGATTGCAGACTTTCAAAGTTGACCCAAAATCGGGCGTCTCCGGTTGCAAATCTGGTCCAAAACCTGCATCCTGAATGAGTTAATGGAGGCAAAATGTTTATTGAAGTGTTCGGCTTTTTTTAACTCGCTGGTGAGAACTTCGGTTTCTGTGTGTAGTGGTTTGGGGTTT